TTGCTATACATATATGCAGGAACCGCCAGATGGAGATTCATAAGAATATATTTGCCAAGGCAGATGTCATTGTTGCTCCAACAACAGGGTAGATTCTTTTTAACTGCAACATCTTGCATCTATTTCAGTGACCTTTTTTTTCTCCAAGAATGTCCAAGAGAGTTTTTTCTTTTCTCGAAATAGTGTGACTGCATACACGATATTCGATGATGCTCTAAAGACCGGTGAGCTCGACTACATAAACGGAGGTATGAGTTTAGACAGAATTTCCAGTATGTATTTATGTTTAAACCCAGAAGCTTTTATCAGTAGGATAAGTCAATGAACAGGAGCTACGGCATAATGGAAGCTAACCATTTCATCGTCATTGCAGCTGCACTAGTTCGATATCAGATAGCAGGGAACTTCTTGGGACTACCTGCGGTGACCGTTCCCGTAAAAACTCGTTACTACTCGGTTCTCTTCATTAAATTCAGTCAAACTTGTTGCTACATTTATACTGATATCAGTTCTCTACTAATGACAGGTTGGTTATGATAAAGAAGGTTTGCCAATTGGCCTTCAATTCATAGGGAAGCCATGGTCTGAACCCACCTTAATGCACATAGCATTTTCTATGCAGGTAAGCCACTAATTTGAGTTTCCATATTCATTGCTAGTAAGCTAATACTTGGAAAACATTTATGGTTTCAGGCCTTGTGCATCTCACAGTATAGAAAGCCTGAAGTTTTCTACAATCTACTGAATAAAAACTGAGTGGAGAGCCACCGTGATCGTTCGGAGGCCGGAGGGTAACCGGTCATCGAGATTACTCCCTTTAGTATAGCTTCTTTCTCTTCTTCTATTGATGAACAACTGACTTGATCACTTACCATTGAATATTAGAGTACTCTGTATTTGCTTAATCATTTGGGAGCGCCATTGTTGAGTTGGATGTGTCAAAAATAATTAGCAGCTGAAATTGTGCATCGTGTCATTCATACTTTTAGATTCAGATTATATATATATATTAATAAAATAAATTGCTTGTTCTATGGTTATAATTAGACCAACTCTTCTTTTGAAAAGTAGCTACTACAGAATATTAATGAAGGTGGAGATGAGTAGTTAGGAATCAGGTGTAACTTTTTATGCATTTTAAATTTAGGATAAACAAATTATTTAATCATTGAATTGGGATGAATTATATTATGATTACTGAAAAGAAAATTATCAATTAGGTCCTTAACATTCCATTTTGGTTTCTATCAAGTTAGTTACTGGTTAAAAATTATTTTAGGTACTTAAATGAAAAATATAGTATACTTTAAGTATCTATTTTGATCAAAAATATTTTAGATACTTATTTTGATAAAATGATAACCTAAGTTATTTACTTAGGAGTTAATTGCATCATACATTCTCAAACTATGACTTTTTTCCTAAATTAGTCCAAAAACTTTTAAATATTCTAATTTTATCCCTAAACTATGACTATGATTCTAAATTAGTCCTCAAACTTTTGAACATTTCATTTTTATCCTCAACCTATGACATTCATTCTAAATTGGTCCCCAAACTTTTTGAACATTTCAATTTCATCCCAAACTATACATACATGCAGGCAGGCATACATGCATGCATGCATACATGCAGGCATGCATACATGCATGCATGCATACGTGCAGGCATGCATACATGCATGCATGCATACGTGCAGGCATGCATACATGCATGCATGCATACGTGCAGGCATGCATACATGCAGGCATGCATACGTGCAGGCATGCATACATGCAGGCATGCATACATACATGCATGCATACATATAGGCATACATACATACATGCATGCATACGTATATACATGCATGCATGCATACGTACATACATGCATACATGCATACGTACATACATACATACATGCATACGTACATACATGCATACATGCATACGTACATACATGCATACATGCATATGCATGCCTGCACGTATGCATGCATGCATGTATGCATGCCTGCACGTATGCATGCCTGCATGTATGCATGCCTGCACGTATGCATGCATGCATGTATGCATGCCTGCACGTATGCATGCATGCATGTATGCATGCCTGCACGTATGCATGCATGCATGTATGCATGCCTGCACGTATGCATGCATGCATACATGCAGGCATGCATACGTGCAGGCATGCATACATGCATGCATGCATACGTGCAGGCATGCATACATGCATGCATGCATACGTGCAGGCATGCATACATGCATGCATGCATACGTGCAGGCATGCATACATGCAGGCATGCATACGTGCAGGCATGCATACATGCAGGCATGCATACATACATGCATGCATACATATAGGCATACATACATACATGCATGCATACGTATATACATGCATGCATGCATACGTACATACATGCATACATGCATACGTACATACATACATACATGCATACGTACATACATGCATACATGCATACGTACATACATGCATACATGCATAAGTATATAAGTACATGCATGCATACATGCATAAGTATATAAGTACTTGCATGCATACACGCATACATGCATATGTACGTACGTACATACGTACGTACATACATACGAACGTACGTACATACATACTAATCACATCATTTGTTAATAAAAACGTTTGGCCAAGTTATATTGTTACATGTTTGAGAAAAAAATTAGTTTAAATTGTGCTTGAAACTAAATATATAATTGGATGACTTTGGGGATGAAACTGAAAGATTTAAAAGTTTGGGGACCAATTTAGAATGATGATCATAATTTGGGGATGATATCAGATTGTTCAAAAGTTTAAGGCCTAATTAAGAATGAAAATCATAGTTTGAGGATGAAATTAAAATATTCAAAAGTTTAAAGATCAATTTAAAATGAAAATTACAGTTTGGAGACGTATGATGCAATTAACTCTTTACTTTGGCAAAAAATTACTTTAAGTACTTAAATAAAAAGATGATATACTTTATCTGTGATACAAACTAATTAAATATTAATATTTTTATTAACGTATCAAATCATAAATTTAATGAAAGTTAATGATGGAATGATCATTTTGTTATAAATTAATAATGTTAGTTACTATAGGAGGAAAGTAGTTGAAGAAAAGAAGATAAAAAGCAGGCAGGGAAATGAGTGCCGCACCACCGCCCAAATCTCCATTGCTATGATCAGTCGGTCGGTGATTACCATATAAAAGCTAAAGACAATGGCGCCTTGTACCCTGTTCTGGACCGCCTACCATATCATTACTTATTCCTATCAAATCCTTTAGCTTTATTTTCGATAAGGTCTAAAGGAGATGTTATGGCCATTCTCATGCATCATCCATTGCTTGAATTGGCCACCGCGCATGCACCACCCTATGTTTTGGATTGGTTACCTTTAGCCTCCACTTCTTTTTGTTGAAAATTGTTGATACTAGTATCTTAGTAGTAACGATTATAGGTGATTTATTCTTTTGATTCGAGTAAAGAGTCGTAATCGATGATTTTATGATAATAAAATTATATTTAGAAGATAAATCGTGTCTTCTATCTTTAAATGAAGAGAAAATAGAAGAAGTGGAATTCCTTCTCTTTGTCTTTTATGAAGAGTTTTATACTAATTTTTAGTGTTAATATCATATTTAATGTTATGATAATTATTTATAGGCTGACAAGCTGAATAGATACAGTAGCCTGATAGCAGATTTAACTATGGTATATCATGTGAGTTTGTTAGAGATCATATAAAAAGTTATTATTGATAGAACGATGTGAGCCTCAGAAAAATTTAATCAATAAAAGATTTTTTTCAAAAATTTCGATTAAAGGAAGAAAAAAATGAAAATGTGATTCGCAAAACTAATTCAAAGAGGTATAATAAATATAAATCATCCCAAAACAAATTAGAATTTTCTTTTAAAACGAAAGATACACGACACAAAGAACGTTGTTTACTAGGAAAGGTTGTGGATCATGGAAAAAGTTGCTCCTCGTGAATTTTTTTAATAGTACGAGGTGATTATAAAATAATATTTATTTATAATTTTTTAACAATTGATAATGTGCGTACACTTTATAAATACAATTTCTCGAATCAAAGATTATAAAAAAATATTCTCTTTAATTATTGAGACCATTTAGTTAATTTTGTAGTAGAATACAAGTAATCCAATGATTATTATGTAAATAGACTAAATGTTACATTGAGTGGATAGCAATTAGTATGGAAGTCAACTTCACCATGGTAATATGGTAGAAACAACAGTCAAATTTAATTCTTAGTTGGTGACTGCAAGCGTTGTTTAAAGTAGACAGGTGTATACTTTAAAATATAGATCATTTTATTGATAATATTTATTTTATATAATTTTTTTATTAATATATATATTCGTATTTAAAAATATTTTTAAATCTATCACTATTTTTAGTCTTATACTTTGACAGAATTAATTTGGTTAAACTTTAAAATCCTTGAGGATCTAGAAGACTGTAACAACAACCTGCGCATACGATTCAATATTTGTATATATATATATATAGTGTAAGGACCCAGCAACAAGAGTAGTAATCGATTAGGGATTAGGTTGGATTCATTAAAAAACGAAATTGCAACTGCAATTATGAGGACCTCCGTACTGATGATGACCGATGACTAAGAATTCAACTCTGATCTGTTTCTATAGTGGATTATTACTCCTTCCAGTACCAAAACTATGAGTATATATTATTAGGCACAGTGAAGGCCTCAAAAACAACTTTGTCATCATCTCATCCATGATGATTAAAAAAAAGATTTCCAATCCGTTTAGAGAAACCAAATTCATAAGTGTACGGTGTTTTCCTAAAATGAAAAGCTAAAAACAGAAAAGTTGAGTTTAATTAGAATGGATAATACTACCATGGCAGATGGCACTTCCACGGACTATGTGATCGCCATCATTTCCCACTTTAGTGGTAGGTCCTAGCTCCTCTCCGACCATCTTGCCTACTTCACTAATTCCGATCCCAACTTGCAGGATTTGAAAAAATTGAAAAAGACAAGCCCCACTTCCATCATTCTTCCGTATCAAGTAGTACTTCCCTATGAGCTATAAAACCATGGAAGAAGAAGCAAGTCCCAACTCCCAAGTAGTAGAGAATATAAGAAATGGAGAAGAAGACGAAGGCGAAGAAAGGGTGGCTTGCGGTTGAGGTTGGACGACCGGAGGACGATGATGAACAAGGCTTTCAACGGTTCCCCATCCCCATATCTTACCTTTACCATCCACTTTTTCAGCAGCTACTGGACAAGGCTAGGGAAGTGTACGACTACGACACCACGGGGCCTCTAAAGCTGCCGTGCTCCGTCGACGATTTTCTCAGTATCAGGAGGCGCGTAGAGAAGGACTCCATCTCCCATCACCCATCACCATCAGTATCGGCATCATCCTCTCGCCTTGGCCTTCCACCCTTGCTGAAACATTTCATCTTCTAAATTCTATTCTTCTCACCCGCATACACTGGTTTTCCCCCTTCTTTTGTGAGGTGCATAGTTTCTCATGTTTTTCAACTTGTTGTGACATGTACAACATTTTCTTTTCTTTTTTAATAATATTATGAGATAATTTTGAGTTAGTATATGTTTAGAATATTTTTTAATCATTAATAATGTATATGTATCTTATAAATATAACTGTTCGAATCTAAGACATTTAGAAAAAAATAACATTCTCCTTAACTATTAAAGTTACTCAATTGATTCGTTTAAAGCTTTAAATTGAGTTATGCATCCACTTAAATACACAACTTCTAGTTTGTTGATACAAAGACATTGAAGAAGCATTTTATTTAACCCGTGTATTAATCGGCATCTGACACTCAAGTAATTTGCTCAATCTGGTTGGTGCAACCAGCTGAGGCAAAAACTAAGAGAAATTAGATCTAGAAGTTTAAGTAGGTAGCAAGGAGCGTGGCTACTTGATGAACAGAATAAACTGAGTTACGTACGTGTCCGAGTGACGAAGCTCATTTCAACCAAAACCCAAAAGGGTAAATTACACTTAATGTCGCTTAATTATGAGTTTGATAATAAACTTATCACTATTCTTCTAAGAATTACAAATAATTACTAGTTTAATTGAAATATTATTACAAACAAGTAATTGACTGTTAAATATTAGACGAGAATAATGGCATAGACTGATATAATAACAGTTTTAGCCTTTAATGGCTATCCCTTTTTCCCATATATATGGGGTAAGAGGAGGTAAGATAGTAGGCTACCTCCAACACCAGGTTGAGAGCAGCTTCCGTAAGAGACCTCCGAATTATGAAATGCCCTCCGTAAGACTCGATCCCACGTCCTCAAGGTTAAGAACCTTGTGCTCTACCAACTGAGCTGGAACTTGTATAATCTATTAATTGGATTTTAATTCTAAATAATTAATTAAATTTAACGTTTTATATTTACAAATTTTATTTTTAAATCTTTACTCTTCTTCCAAAAATATTATATTACTTCTTGTATAATAATAGTGTAATAATAACTTCTTGTTATTCTATGGTATACTGTAGTTATGTTGACTATTATTTTGATTTAATGAGTTTGTTTGGTTTGATGGTAAAAAAAATTTAAATTGATTGAATTTTTAAATATGTAAGATCAAATTTATTAAATTACTTAAGACCATGATGAAATTGATAAAATATATAAATTTTGAGGATTAAAATATTATTATATTTAATTACTTTAAACTATTATTTTAATATTATTAACTGTTTATAATAATATTCTGATTAGATAACTTGTTTATAATTTTTTTAAAAAAAATTTTTTTTGGCAGTTCTCTCAAAAAAATTATTAATTAGTTAGTGCTATTGGTATAGATAAGTACGGAAAAAGATACATTCTTTTTTCTCCACTTAGGATTAAGATGATATTTTAACGAGGTTTTTGAGGTAGTGTTTTTTTCAAAAAAAAAAAAAAAACGGAAAAAGAAGACAACTATGGAACCTAAAACAGTATGACGGTATGTTTCAATCAACTTCAGGTCTTAAATTTTTTTTATATATTTTAAAAAAACATATAATAAAATTGCAACTCTATTATTAAAGAAAATGGCATTTGATGCAACATGACGAGTAGTCTTTTTCTAGATGGACTTGAGTTTATCCTACTTGGAGTATCATTATTCATTTCTCAAATATATAAAGGTTGATTTCATATTTTATTTTAAATAAATCTCAACCAATTGTGTGGTGGTTCAACCAATTTTGGACTCTCATTTTTTAATTTCTAGATCCGTGGCTTCTTCCAACTCGGTCTCACTATTCTTCCTTCATTGGAAGGCATTAGCAATAAGAAGCCTGCATGACTCTAATAAGCCATGTAAATTAGGGTCAGAGATAGAATTAGAAGGGAAAACAATACTTCTTAAAAGTAACTTAATGTCTACATTCAAGTGTTCCACTACATGCATGCTAAATACAAATACATCAACTCCCTCCTCTTCCTCTTCCCCTTCCTTCCATCTCTACCTCACATCACAACGATATCTATACCGCTTAACCGAAATCCTGGTATATCCTTGAAAAACCGATAGAACCATTTGATTCTTCCCGAACATTCGATTTTATTGGATATTAACAACTTCAACTGGCTCTCCTTTCTCTGAGAAAGTACAGGAAGAGGAGAGGGAAGAAGGATAATTTCAACAACAATGTGGATTCCCACTACAAGATATGCTTATTACCACTCTTCATATAAGTGTGTCAATATAATATCTAAAAAGGAAAAAAGTTAACGGAGAAAACTTGTACCATATCTTCGAAATACAGTCTCTCCTTTGTAGGCTATATATTACCGAGCCTTTAACCATACATCTTCACCGGAAGCACAAGAATACAAACACAATGAGATAATCCTCATTGTTGTTTTGGAAACAACCTGCTCCACATGATAAACTGGCATAGAAACAATAGTTGAGTATTTGCAATTTATTCCAGTACCCCTTGGTGACCTAAACATGCATTTGCCTGCCAAATAAAAACACGAGACCAACCGGAGATGATGATTTGCAAGGCATTAAACAAGAAAGTAACTGCTAGAATTAATCCTAGATGCACCCCCAAACTTCAAGGGAAAGTGAGCAAACTAAGACTGCAAAGTTGAACCTAACATGGTGCTTTTAAGGATGAAGAGAGATGTAACAATTACATTACCAAAGTAAAAGCCAGGTATATAAACTACCTATCAAGCCATACTTAATCCATTTGACCTATACAAAGAAACTAAGCCAAAACATGAAAATCAAGAGATAATTGTTCAGCTAATTAAATGAATGATCGAATTCATTACACTATTAACTGAGCAAAACCTCGGTAGTCAATCAACGGACTGGAGTTCTCCAATAAACGAGATATACTCTAAAAGGATCTAACTCGTCAGACCATAACTATTTAGCGATTCGTAAGACGAATATGCCTGAACGATTAGAAGATAAAGCAAGATAGATAGTCTAACAAGAAGAAACTTATAGCAGTTGTAACCTTGAAGGCATGCAATTGAAAGTAAATAGAAAATGGAAACTCGTAGCACTATGTTAGCACAACATCAATTGAGTTGTTTGTTTAGCTATCACATCCCCCACCCTAAGACTACTAAAACAGAAAGAAAAAAAAATATAGAACCCAATATCATTTTTACTCTCATGCCAAATAACCATAATTGATGTCCATTGTTTATGAATTAAGTATATAGGATGAGTGCAATAAATGAAGCAAACAAAGAATAATATTCATTAGCTAAGGGGTATTTTGGGTGAAAAAATAGCAAACACGGCCGTAACAAATACCTTAGAGCAGATGAACATGTTGAGGCGTTGGAGAACCCAGTGAACACATTTGAGTAGGACTTGGTCAAATATGAAAAGTTGGCAATTGGAGGTAGAGCAGGCACCTGTTCACCTTTCTTCAAAAGGTCTTGCAAATCGAGTCTTTGCAGGGTCAAGACAACTCTCGATTCCTTCCACATGAAGGCAAGCAGACCATTTTGAATGACAAAAAGTGAGCCAGGCTTTGAGCCAGGATATCTAAAACCATATCCATTTGCAATACCTTCTCCCGTAAAAGCATGCTTCACATTGACAGGATGTGAATCTGCATCACTATCCCAGGGAAATGGGTCCGGTGAAGGATCATCAATATTTACAGTGAACATTGCAGAACCGTTTGGGTGCAGAACATAGTGGGTGCCTTCCAATATTTTAGTTGCAATGAGAAGCTGTTTTCCCTCTGTCTCTTCATAAGAGAGCAAAAGAAAGAACAGAGCTTTACCAGGCTTGTCTTCAGTCGGCCTTCCAGGAGGCCAACCGAATGTTCCTCCCCATAAACCAGCATACTCTTGGTCCTCCCTCGGAACCCGCATGGGCAGCTTGTAAAGAGCAAACCGTGTATCATGCATATTAGGCCAAGCTCGATAAAATGATAACTTCATTGTAGAGGCATGTAACGTCAGCCCTATAGTATCCCCTGAATTTAGAAATTCATGAAGCTGAGCATGCCTATTCTCACTACTAGAAGAATTGCATTTTGAAATAGCTCGACCACCGTTTACAGAACTAGGTTTCTGAAGAATTTTCTTAATGCTAGCTCTGAAGTACCTGCCTAGACTTTTCCTATTGTTTCTGTGTGTCTGATCATCATCTCCATTCAGAGAATTAGAAGAACTAGAACGGTCAAAGCTCTTTCTAATGTCACTGAGTTCCAACTGAATAGGACCAGCAGGCATTGCAGTACTTGCCTTCGAATCTGTGCAACCTAGTTCACTATCAAACTTAAACATCTGAAGAAGCAGTGATCTTCGCTGCAACATAAGCACCAAATCCTTTTGGAAGTTCTCTGCATTCTCCCTCAACCGAGGAAATAGAGGCCCACTTACAGAATCAGTAACCTTAAAACAAATTTGGCTAGTAACAGTCTCAAGCAACTTTCTTCTGTCACCAAAAGTTAACCGACTAAAAGGAACCATGGCCTCACTCTGTCCTGAGGATCTCAATAAACCACTATTTGATCTACAAACCTTTCTTGAAATCTCCTCATTGGAGTGATGAGCAAAGCTCTTACTATGGATTAGTTTACATCCATTCCTTTTTGCTTTAGGCTCAACCTCAAGCAAAAGCACGTTACAATTCCGCTCCACAGATTCCACTGAACCGGGATATAAATAGTCACATCCTTTCTCCCTACCATGAAGAAGAAATGTGGCGGAACCATCAAAATCACCAATAATTTCAAACACCGGTGCCCAAAGAATGGGGCCATCCTCAATTCCCAAGGGACCAAGCTCTTGTGGAATTATTCGACATCCAACAACAGAAACGAAACCAGGCATTACATACACTACATTGCCAAGCTCAGGATTCTGGTGAACCCAAAGGCCAAGCAATGGCTTTACTCTAACAAGGAAGCGGCAAAGCGCCTTGTAAGATACTACACCTTCCCTCCACTCCACGAGGTCCCTCGTAGGAACAATTGCAACTAAATCACATTGAGTGAGCCAAATCTTTTCAGAGGAAACAAGTGCACATAAACTTTTACAACATATACTCAGATTACATATGTCCTTTGGTGAAAGGGACCGAGGTATAATAGCAAACACATCATCAGGTAAAGCAAGAAAGAAGCTAGAACCACAAGTTTCTAGCACCATAGCAGCGTCTCAGTTATTTGTTCTTTGGAGATATCAAGATTTCCTTTTTAACCCACAAATTGAGATATAAATCAATATTCATGCAAAACCAACAATTCTGAATCTATAAATAAACAACCCCAAAAGAAATCAGAATTCAGAGAGCGCATGTTACCCAATACACCAACCAAATTCTCCCAGCTTCAAATCAGGCCTTGAACAGAAATGGGTTTTTGATTTCCCACTTATCCTAAAGCTGGAGAAGAAAATCAAAGTGGGTTTTCATTAAAATCCCCCAAAATAAAAAGAAGAGAGGCTTCCCTAACCTTTGCATCTACAACTCAAGAGACATAAGAAAGAAAAACAAAGCTTGGTTAACCAAAGTCCGTAGATTTATGAAGTTTAGAAGAAAGTATACAATTAAAGCAGCTTTGACACTTGTTTTCTTTCTTTCTTTTTGTTTTTTCAGATTGGGGGAGGTAATTGTGGTTGGGCCAGAACGCCAACCAATGTTGAAAATTTGATTTCACAGTCCAATTATTGTCAAGTTTGGATTGGAATGTAAAACATTGACTACTGACTCATTCATTGGACCGTGATTTTTCTGTTCATAGTAAGTATGGTGGTTATCGGATGACAAAGATTGATTCTTTTTTATATAAAAATTATATTTTCCCCCTATACGTGTGATGTCTGTAGATACGGTACGTGGCAAATATTGCCGACGTTTAATATGAAGGGCTAGTTTTATATTAAATTTTAAAACATATTGAGCCGTTTACTTAGGGATAGGCATGGGATTCGAATTTAACGGGTTTAGATCTGACTAATCCGATCGGATTGGGTTTTATTTTTAAATTTTAGGTTCGGTCAGGTCAGGTCGAGTTTTTTAAAATATGATGTTCGGGTTTAGGATGAAAAATATTCGATCCGACCTAAAAAAAATTATAATTTTACTTTATATATTTAGGAATAATTATAATAATACTCATATATATATTTTTTCAATTAAGTCATTATTTTTATTGAATAAAAATAATATTTTATTATTTTGGGTTGGGTTTTAAGTTATATATCGGATAAGGTTCGGATCGGGTAAAATCTTATTTTGGTCGGGTCGGGTCGGGTCGGGTCTCGGGTGAAAGATTCCTTGATCTCGGGTCGGGTCGGATAGACCAAAAACCCGACCCATGCCATTGTAACACCACAACCCGTATCCAACCCGGATACAAATCCGATGTGTCATATTGACTTTTCAAAACGTTTACTTTTACAAGATAGTTGAAAATTCAAACTTTCATTAAAATAAAACTGAAATAATTTACATAAATAAAATAAAAAAGGTTTACAAAACTGATCAAAGCATTTTTTATTTAAACTTTTATTTACATACCAACAAAATAACATATAAACAAAGTACATACAACTTAAATCAATTCTAATATGATCTTCAGTTGATAAATATTGTCTTGTCGGCTTGTCCTAGCTTGGATCTTCGTGTTTCTTTGAACCTACGTGTGAAACACTCACACGCTAAGTCACAGACTTAGTGAGACATATAATACAATAGTGCAATAGTAAAATCGTGAAGTATGCAATCATATACTATCATAGTGTACAAGAATCATCATATATCTACTCAATAAGAACATACATAGTCATGTATTTAACCAATAATAACATATCACCTTAGGCAATATTATTTAATGTTATATCTTTTATTAGCCCGTGGTACATTATTGAGAACTTAACGTATATGAGTGCATTGAGGTTGTGCACAAATGCTGTCATCACAGCTAATATAAATTATACTGAAGTGTCGCGTAGAATTTGCATTGAAGTGCCACATAGAAATGTCCTAAAGGACCACATAGTATTGTCCCGAATGACCGCGTAGAAATGTCCCGAAGGACAACGTAGAATTGTCCTGAAGGACCGCGTAGAACCCTCGACTCTTGGCATGTCAATTATACCCTCAACTCTCATATCACATACTATGGGATTTACCATTTATATCATTTATTATATCTTATTTCACATAGACAAGTAATCACATAGGTCAAGTCACATGGCTTATATCACATGTTCATGTAATCAAGTAGATCATATCACATAACTTATATCTTGTTCTCATATATTCACATAAGTCATGTATAACAATGCATATAACACATAAACATATACTTACTCATGTACACATAATAATCATATCAATAACATGCTTGTATTCATGGAATCATGCAATCAAACATTGCAAATAAACTCATCGCAAGTCTTATTTCCATAAAACATCATATACAAAATAACATGCACTCACCTTAGCCTCACTTAGTCCAAACACAACTCTTAATTATCACTTGATCAATCTTATATCATTGACTCGTCGATACTTGCTTTCGCTCGATATCTACACAATAATATGATCGATATGAATATCTTAATTCGAATCACTATTAATCAATCCTTGATAACATAAGCTAAACGAAGCACTAAATTCCCAATTTAAATCTGAATAGTATCGTACCCAAGGTACAATACCAATACTTCTTATTGATAGTATCGATGCTATAATTTAGTATCGATATCTATTCTCGGTTTTGGAATTTCATCCCTAAAAATGGTACCGATACTTGTATATTGGTATTGATACCCTTAGTACCGATGCTACTACTTCAGTATTGATACTCTTTGAATAATTTACCAACTTTTAGCTTATGATATCGATATTGTTCATTCAATATCGATATCCAAACCCAAATATTATCTATTTTCACTCTGAAGTATCGGTATTGTTCATCCAGTACCGATACCCCTTACCTTGAACTTCTTCCTTTTAACCCGAAAATTTACCAATACTTACTTAAACCCCACTTTTTAAACTCCTTTCATGTCATTAAACTTAATTTCACCTATTCAAATAAACTTATATCAATTTACTCATCCTAACTTTCAATATCTAACTAGAATACTTGAAAAACAAAATCATACCAAATAGTCAACTTGGTTATAAATCCTTTATAACTTCATAAATCTCTTATTCTAATGGATAACAAGTCAAATATCACTTTAAAATTTATTTACTTACTCTTTCTCAACAATTCACTTAAAACCCTTTATATTCAATCTCTCATAACTTGTAAATCCTTTGGTTTTTACCTCTCTTTAAACTTCCTTAAGCTTTCCTAATACCTCAAGAATCAAACCACATTTAAATTGCAAGAAATAACCAACTAGAAGAATCCTTACCTTTGTTATGGAGTCACGGTTGGTGAGGAAGAAAGGATAAAATTTTCTAGAGTTATCTGATTTTCCTTCTCCCCTATACCACGTGGTTATATAAAACAACAACAATGAATTTTTAATTATTTCCTTGACTAATGACCAATATGCCTACTAACTTTCCTTCTTTACTATTCAATCCTACACAAAGATATTTCAAATAAGTCCATAAACTTTTTAATTTATCTAATTTGATCACGAAATTTTAAAATCTTACAATTTGATCATTAACCCGATGTTTGGGATGTTACACCCATCCCTATGTTTACTTAAATATCACTCCATCAAGCTTGAATTAGCATTTTTTTAAAATTAATTTTCCGATTAATATTTATTTTGGTATGTGAAATAAAGGCGTATTTTGTCAATGCCGTCTTTGAAGCGCGTTCTATCAGCAGCGCTTTTGAAGTGTGTTCTATTAATAACGCTTTTGAAAAGTGTTCTATCAGCAACACCTTTGAAAATGATGCAATCACATTACATGCATTTGATTACAAGATTTATTGAGCATTAAAATCGATGAGATTTTATTAAAGTCATGTCAGTGAGATTCAAGCACCATTAACTTATCCGAGATTTTCTCAAGAAAGTTTTGGCATAGAACAATCCAATTATCAACACAACACGTCAATCGATAGTCGAAGTAAAACATCCTCTAGAACGATTGTTCATTCCCTACATGAAGGATGAAAAGTATGTATTTCTAATCTCTACCTCTCAATGTATGCATAAATAAATGTTAACCGTAGTTTACAATCTCTGAGTACTTAAGAAACATACTCAAATTTGACTTGAATTTTTTTTAATAAGTGTTATTTAAACAAGGCTTAATACTTAAAAAAGTGTTTAAATTATACTTTTTTGCCCATATAGGTGCTACAGTATATTTTGGACCATCTAGGTGCTTAACATTACAAACGTGATCACTTTAAGTGTCGGGACGTAACAATCGTTAGTTTTCTCCGTTAAGTGACACGTGTCACAATTTGATAATTTTAATTTATTTTTTAAAAAATATTAAATATATTATTATATTTATAAAAACCCTTCATTTCTTTTAAATTATAAAAAAAATCCTCAAAATCCCTAAAATATACAAATTCTAACACTAACCTGCCGTCACAGTCCTTTTCGACCACGACCATCACTTCCGACGTAGTCTCTGTCATCATTATAGTTATACGCCGCTGTAGTTGTCGCCGATTGGCCATCAGAATCGAGTGGGATCACGATTTTCATCCTAGGTTTCGTCGGGTATAAATGTCGATTCTCCGTCGATCGACTGTCGATTTCATAGGGGTTTTGGTCATCGAGGTAAGGTGAAGTCGTGTTAAGCTTCGTCGACGAAGGTGGTTGATGTGGGTTTGGGATTAAAATGAAGGTTTTCAAAATTTTAGGATTAATTCGAAATTCGTATGTTTTAGTTTTAAAAAATATATAATTTTATTGTTTTAATTTTATATAAAATTTTAAAATTAACAGATTGTGACACATGTCACTTAACAGAAGAAATTACCGACGTTGACAACCCGAACACCTAAAATGATAACGTTGCACTTGGATGAGTCAAAAAATACTGTAGCACCTATTCGGAAAAAAATATAGTTTAGTCAACTATTTGGGTATTAAGCCTTAAACAAAAAAAAAAAAAGCTAAATTATTATAGTTTAGTCATTAATATTTATTCTACTATTGTCCATATAATTATTAATAAATAAAAGTTGTATATTATTTTTTGGTAAAAGTCGCAGGACCTTGGAGGGTGAGTTTCAAATGCCCCCACGTATCCAGCTTTTTGGTTTTAACAAAATGGAATAAATAAATAATAATAAAGTTTTTAAAAACAATACTAAATTGAACTGAAAGACGAAGTTGGTTTTTATTTCTCTGCTTAAATACATATACGACAGTTACAACTAATAATAATATTCAATTGTAATTGCTGCAATCTAAAAAATATTATTCAATTTGGAATCTAAACATAATTGAAAATAAAATATATTCACAAATGATCCTCGCCGGTATCTAAAAAACAAATAATTCCGGATTTGGTAACTCAAAAAATTCAACATCTAAAACCCTAAAAAATCACTAATGCATAATTTTTTAAATAAATAAAAACAAACATGGAACAG